CTGATGGACCTGGTGGGACTTGATGAACCTGGTGGGACCTGATGGACCTGGTGGGACCTGATGGACCTGGTGGGACTTGATGAACCTGGTGGGACCTGATGGACCTGGTGGGACCTGATGGACCTGGTGGGACTTGATGGACCTGGTGGACCTAGAGGGACTTGATGGACCTGGTGGGACCTGATGGACCTGGTGGGACTTGATGGACCTGGTGGGACCTGGGGGGACTTGATGGACCTGGTGGGACCTGGGGGGACTTGATGGACCTGGTTGGACCTAGAGGGACTTGATGGACCTGGTGGACCTAGAGGGACTTGATGGACCTGGTGGACCTATAGGGACTTGATGGACCTGGTGGGACCTGGGGGGACTTGATGGACCTGGTGGGACTTGATGAACCTGGTGGGACCTGATGGACCTGGTGGGACCTGATGGACCTGGTGGGACTTGATGAACCTGGTGGGACCTGATGGACCTGGTGGGACCTGAGGGACCTGGTGGGACTTGATGGACCTGGTGGGACTTGATGGACCTGATGGGACTTGATGAACCTGGTGGGACCTGATGGACCTGGTGGGACCTGATGGGACCTGGGGGGACTTGATGGACCTGGTGGACCTAGAGGGACTTGATGGACCTGGTGGGACCTGATGGACCTGTGGGGACTTGATGGACCTGGTGGACCTATAGGGACCTGATGAACCTGGTGGGACCTGATGGACCTGGGGGGACCTGATGGACATGTTGGGACCTGATGGACCTGGTGGGACCTGATGGACCTGGGGGGACTTGATGGACCTGGTGGACCTATAGGGACCTGATGAACCTGGTGGGACCTGGGGTCCTCAGTCTGATCTATCTTCAGGAGAACCAGCAGAACTTTAGTTTGTAAAGTTTTTATGTGTTTCTGTAATAAAAGTTTTTTGCTTCATTATTTTAACTTTACAGGAAGTTAAACATTGAAACTATCAAAATAAAGTTTTTTGTTTCATAAACCTTTATTTTGTATTTTCTTTCTCCGTCCGACTGAATGAGTGAAAGGTGTGGTTCTGTCAGAACTTCAAGACAAAAGGTTCTGCCTGAAGGACCGGGGACGACCCGGGACACACCTAAAGACTCACCTGTCCTGCAGCCAGTTTGTCAGGTTCTGTCGACCAATCAGAACGCTCGGATCAGATTCACCTTCCTCCTGTTTGGTGCAAACAACAGCTTCTGTTTCTACAGCTCAGATGTTCTGCTGATCCCAGGTCTGGTCCTACTGATCCAGGATCTAGTCCTTCTGACCCGGGAACCCGTGGAGGATGGCCTGGACCGTGTCCACTCAGCCTCAGGCCCTGGGTCCTGCTGGTGGACTGGACTGGGCCTCGGGGATCTGTGACTGCTGGGAGGATAAGAAACAGTGTAAAGTTTGATTTTGGCTGATTTCAGTTTCTTTAGCTGTTCAGGTCTCAGAATGTTTCGGCTCTTCCAGGAGACCTCAGCTGTCACTTCATGTTTTTATGGTTTTAAACTTTTAACTTCAACTGTTTTATTGAAATTAATAAAAACTTTAATGTTTAGTTTTCTTCTATTTAACTTTTAGCCACTGCTGTGCTAACCTTAGCTTTTAGCTACTGTCTAACTAGCTAAAACTATGGATGGTCTACTTCCAGCATTTAGCTGTGTGTAGCTAGTTTTTGCTTTTTGTTTTACTGATTTCAGCTGGTCTCAGGTGGTCTCAGGTGGTCTCAGGTGGTCTCAGCTGGTCTCAGGTGGTCTCAGGTGGTCTCAGCTGGTCTCAGCTGGTCTCAGGTGGTCTCAGGTGGTCTCAGCTGGTCTCAGGTGGTCTCAGGTGGTCTCAGCTGGTCTCAGGTGGTCTCAGGTGGTCTCAGGTTGTCTCAGGTGGTCTCAGGTTGTCTCAGGTTGTCTCAGGTGGTCTCAGCTGGTCTCAGGTGGTCTCAGGTGGTCACAGGTTGTCTCAGGTGGTCTCAGCTGGTCTCAGGTGGTCTCAGGTTGTCTCAGGTTGTCTCAGGTGGACTCAGGTGGTCTCAGCTGTTCTCAGGTGGACTCAGGGTGGTCTCAGGTGGACTCAGCTGGTCTCAGGTGGTCTCAGGTGGACTCAGCTGGTCTCAGGTGGTCTCAGCTGGTCTCAGGTGGACTCAGCTGGTCTCAGCTGGCCTCAGGTGGTCTCAGCTGGTCTCAGGTTGTCTCAGGTGGTCTCAGGTGGACTCAGGTGGACTCAGCTGGTCTCAGGTGGTCTCAGCTGGTCTCAGGTAGACTCAGCTGGTCTGAGGTGGTCTCAGCTGGTCTCAGCTGGTCTCAGGTGGTCTCAGCTGGTCTCGTGGTCTCAGCTGGACTCAGGTGGACTCAGCTGGTCCCAGATACACTCAGCTGGTCTCAGGTGGACTCAGCTGGTCTCAGCTGGTCTCAGGTGGTCTCAGCTGGTCTCAGCTGGTCTCAGATGGACTGTTTGGATTCTCTGATGATGATGATGATGATGATAATGATGATGATGATGATGATGATGATGATGGTGATGATGATGACGATGATGATGATGATGGTGATGATGATGATGATGATGATGGTGTTGATGGTGATGATGATGGTGATGATGATGATGGTGATGATG